CACGCGTCCTTCTTCGATTTTATCTTTAAAATTTGCTTCCTTGTACAATTTTACTCATTGGACATTTATTTTAATTTCATTCGAGGGTTATGAAATTTCAAGAAAAACGAGAAAAATGTACGATTTCTTACAGACTGTAGGGTACTTTGATTTACATTATCTATAATTGAATACTTTTATTAACAGATTGTGGGCTAATCATATCCAGCTGGCCTCCTCTCTTTATAATATCAACCTTCCGATCCCAAAATGCCAATAATTATATTATCTGGCATGCCCTCAGCTTGATATTGGCAGAAGTGAAATGATTGCTAAACTACGTTCACTAAATTTTTTCCCCCCTTACATGATTACCACTTTTCATTCTCAACCAAGTATCTCCTCGCTAATGGTTATTTTCAGATTTCTAGAGAAGCATTGTGTACATTTAATCTAAGCCAGCTGCTGTTATTCTGTAATACATAATTCTTCATCAACAAGTGTGTACAGATAATCTAAATGTAGATATATATCCTAATCCTGTAGAGGGTTACACATCATTGAATAAAAAAAAAAATTTATAATTGAATCCACGAAGCGCAAATCTTCGAACCATACCAAGATAGCTAGTCCAGGCTACAAGTCGGTAGAGATGACTTTTTACAACGTACCTATCAAAGTTGGCGTTGCAATCGCCGTTGCACCCTCGATTGAACACAAACACGTGAACTTTCAGCTTGAAAGATTTTCCATAAAAACGAAAGAGTACAGCGTATGGCTTTGATTTTCATGCATCTCTGCACAGGGAACGTACCGTCTACGATTCTTCTTTGGGAAATCTCCGGGAACGAGGCTCCGGTGATACGGAGGGCCGATCGATCGGAAGACTCAGGTGGCAAGCCGGAGCCCAGGTCCGGAAGACCGATACCCTGGAATCGCTTTGCAGGGTTATCGTTCGTTGAAAGCCGGTCGAACGAACGCGTTATATCCACGGATCGTTTTAGCCGACGGAAAGCTCGTGATTTTCTGATGCGAGGCGGATCGTACGAGTGTGTGTGTGTGTGTGTGGAGGCCGGTTACGCCTGTGTGGCGGAGCCCAAAGGGCTACCAAGCCTGGAGCTAGGCAGCCATACGGACGTCCGGACGGCAGCGGCACGTCACGGAAGCGCTTTCCTCGTCTACTGGAAGTGCGAAGTGGAAGAATTAAATCGTATTTCAACGTCAATGCCGCGGAAGCAGGCGGCAGAGTGGGATAGCTTTGGGAATACTCAGTCACGAGCGGAAATCCGAACTCCCGTGCAGTCGTGGAACGCAATTTAACTTTTAGTCGCTCGTGAGGAACCGTCGGCTTCCATACTCGGTCTTCTACGGTTCTCGGTTCTTTCATCCCCTCGCCGACCCGCCAGGTTTCACTCTCATCCTCTTTCTGTCTCCGCAAGACATCCGTCTCGTTCCCGTCGCGAAGCCTTCTCGTTCCCTCTTCGCTCCGGATGCTTAATATGCAATCACGCACGGAGGATAGCTCCCCAGGTGACTCCGGTATATGCTCCTGCCCTTCCCCATCCTGTCGGATTATACGTCTGCTACGCTTCTTCCCGCGCGGATCCATTGCTGGCGTCTGAAGAGCTTAGATCGCGCGCACCTGAACTCTGCATCACGATCAGACCTTAACTGATACGATACTCTGTAGGGTGGTTCCTCAAACGGTGGAAACTTTAAAAGTGCAGGGCTTTAGGGTGGCGGTCAGCTGCGTGGCATAGAAAGATGCACCTGCAAACTGAGCAGCGCGAGGGTAACAGGAGTAGGTCGTTCGTTCCTCCTAACTGCCACCAGAAAACCCTACTCTTACGCAAAGTTAACCCTCAAGCACACACGCTCGAATACTTATCATTATAGATCATTTTTCAGAATAATACTTACATTTTATATTTCGTCAATTAATTTTGTTTCTTTAATGAATCTTAGTAGATTGCATTGCTTTTTGTCGGCGAGGTTTTCTTTGAGTCGAAGTTTCAGCTTGTGTTTACGGCGAAGAATGTTATAATTATATTCTGGGCAGTTGAGAATTAGATAGTCTATTGTAATTGCTATATTGCAATGTTCGTAGAGTATAATTATAAATGCGTTACTTTCATGCAATTGTTAATTAATGTTTAATACAATCGAGTACATATTATTTACTTAAAGTTGGTTGGTTTTCTATAGTTATTGAATAATATTTAATGCAATCTGCTGTATATTATCCCTCAAGCACACACGCTTAAATACTTACGTAGAAACACAACTGACTCTGTGAGACCCACCGCACCTTCAATCACTTATATCTCGGACTGTACTCCATGGATTCAAGTGTCTTTTTCTTTAACACTAAACCTACCGACTCTTCATGTATACCCATTCCTACCATGACCAGTCAAATGACCAATCTTTCTTTTTCTCTTTTACGAGGCAATGTACTTCTAATTTGTGCACTATACGTATAGAAAGTTGTGTTTTGATGTTTATTCGTAAGATATCTTTCTCTTTATTAGTAAAAAATTTTTTAATTTTCATCGGATAGAAGATAAATCGCCCTAGAAAATGAATTTTGTTCTAAGTCGGTACCGTAGTTAGTTTAAAGAAAACCGCTATTTAAGAAAAAGTGCTGACTAGTAATTACGCAAATATCCTGTATTTGAATTTAAATTAATTTTCAATTAAGTAATCAATTTATGATCCAGTTTTATAGTACACTAGTTGTACGATCGATAGGAATTGCTGAAACTTCTTTGGGTATGTAACGTCAAAGTAAATTGCAAAATAAACATAGAAGATGGCATAAATTATATTAGGTGATATATTCATTGGATAGAGGATAAAATGCCCTTTAAAATGAGCGTTCATTCAAGTCGATAGCTTACTTAGTTCCGGAGATATAGGAGTTCAAAGTGTTTGTTTACGTCGCGAGGTCATTGCCCTCAAGTGCTCGTAGTAAATAGTAAACATTACGTCACTCGGTCATTGGGTCACGACTCACGTACGAAATTACGCCTTCATTTAAATTACGATATTTCCAAAACGTAAAGTCAAATCGACATAATCCAAAAAGTACTTTAAAAACAAAGGCGTGCCGCTTGTAAGAGTGGCCCAATTATGGCAGAAACATGAATAGTTTCAAAACTGCACGAGTTTAAAGTTTTAGTGTTTTTAATACGAGTTAATAGACTTTGGTAAGTTGGGGAGACAGAGATAGTGGAAATTAAAAAATTACCCCTTTATTAAAACTACGATATCTTTAAAACGATATATCCATAAAACGAAAACCATTTTAAAGTGTAGGCTTTGATGTTTCTACTAGTCTGTCAATTATGGAGTAAACATAAGTAGCTTCAGAACTGCATGTGTAGAAAGTTTTATTATTTTGAATAAGCATTATTAGGCTGTTCTAATACACTGGAAACCCTACTCTTACCCTCTTAGGAGTTACACTACATAGTAATAGGATTTACATTAGATATATTTTTGTTCTATTCATGGTTAACACATTACGACAAATGTGTATTTTTCTAGTAATTTATCTGACAACACAAGAAAAAATTCTAATATAAATATAACTCCTGAAAATTTCAATAAAATATATTAATTACAAAAATACTTATCACATTTTTAGTATTCACATGTTGAAGAAATTCTATATCATTAAAATCACACGTCGTATAGGAAAGTTTTAATCAAAATGCCCCGTCGTTAATGTATTAATATTTTGGAGCTTACGACTACACCAATGTCGTTCAATATGGTTCTAACCTACTTTGTTTTGATACGATTTGGATGCAGATACAATGAAAATTGTGTTCGACTAAGCCAATAAGGATAATGCATGTGTAAACCAATTCATTCTCTCACAATCATTCTTAACAAATTTATAAAATGGAGATATTTCTATAGAGTAAAGTAACAACCAAACTATTCCTTACGTATAGAAACTGAATTTTCACCAAAAATGGACATACAGCATGCAATAAACAGGTTTCATTTTGATAACTATTCTTAATCATGAATATGGGTAGAAATTTTTTGTAAAGCATTTCAACAACCTTCGAGATTATATCGACGATATGGGATTTGTTCCGAATTAGAACATTGAAATCACAGCTGAATCAAGTAATGAAATTCCTAGTTACTAAATCTGACACGCTGGTAAGGAGAAGTAGCATTAAAAATCGTTTTGACGTGCTCATGAAGATTGAAGGGAGAATCGTCGAGTTGTTGAAGAGGTGTCAAGCGTACCGGGCTTAAGCAAGCATGTTCTCAAGTTTGCACGTGATACCAACTAAAGTCTACATAGCGAGATGTCCTGAAGGGGCGTTGTCTACTTCGTCTCTCAGATCTTCGAGATTACAAGTGCCGGTTTCATGAAAATTCGTGCCTCGCTTCCGTAGGATTTTGGTATTAACCCGTACTCGGCGGAAACGGTCTCGCGAAGAAATCGTAGATGGAGATTCACCGGTGCCCTCGCTATCGTAAAACAATCCGGGCTTCCTTACAAATTCCAGAAGTTTTCGAATAAAAATAAATCGCGGTACCAGCAGCTGGTCGACGAAGATTCGTGTTCGCGAGACGGAGAGTGTATGCAGTTGACAGCGAATGATTTGCAACGTATGCGTGTAAAATTGGAGAGCTTGTACGCCGACAATTAATTTAAAACAGTTTGACGGCTTCTATAAATAAACACAGTATTTCATCGTAACTTCGTATCGATTGCATAGCCATGGTGCAATAAGTAATCCATTAGCTCGGTCTACGCCGAGTTACGGCAAAAGAAAGAGAGAGCTTGCTTTGATTTATCGATCGATCGTGTATGAAAACTCTGAACCAAGTTTTTGATATTAACAAATTTGTTTAGATTCGATTAAAAAGTTTTACGACCATTAAACACTTCTGTTTCGTTGTTCATACTATTGACCTTTACGCGATGTAAAAATAATATGGCTTCCTGCTTACTCGACGCTGCTACAAATAGGTATAACGGATGATTTCAGCTTCGATGTCCGGGATCGTCGACAATTCAGCAAAGCTAACTTTTGGTCGTCGCCGACGGCATTGGGACCAAGAGCTTTTTTTATCACGAAGACGAATCCCGCTTATCTCAGCATCGATCAATTGGAGACTAAAGACGAAGGGATCTATCGGTGTCGAGTGGACTTCAAGAATTCGCCGACGAGAAAGCAGAAAATAAATCTGACTGTTATACGTAAGTATCGAACCTGTTACTAAACTTAAACGAAGCTATGTTCGGTATTTCCAAGTAGCTGAGACTGAGAAACTGTTCTCGATAATCCTCCTCTCCGACTAATATCGCAATTAGAATTGCACAAGTAGTCTGAAAAAATTAAACGTCTTTAGTAGAAGCAAATATTCTGTTAGAATAGTCGACGTCTTCGAGCAAACGACGTTTTTAACAAAAATGTGTGGTACATATTACAAATACATTCGAAAATTATTTGTTCAGTGTAACCAGAGTTAATTTTCTATAATGTAGACAAAATTAACGCTAAACCTACCGACAGTTATACAGGGTGAGGCATTTTAAACAGGTCACCTGAATAACTCGCTTGTTTTTGAAGATAGGAGAAAATGCATTAGACCAAACTTATTTGGTATCGGGGGGCTCATAATCTGGTATTACCAATTTTTTTGTAGGTGGAGGCGTCAAGGAGATATGAAGGTCAACTTTGTTTTTTTAAATGGAACAGTATATTTTATTACTTACATTCTGATAGAGTGTTTCAAGGCGAATACAATGACCTATTATTAAGGTCATTCAAGGTCACCCAAAGTCAACTGCAATAGAAAATAAATTGTGTCAGAGTACATTTCGAATACTTGTGTATCACGTGTGTGTATTGCGTGACACGGGTCACAAAAGATAAACAAACATTCAATCACATTGTACGCTTATCCGTATCCTCAAACATTATTGGTAATTTTACTACCGACTAGAGCACAGCTTCGTAACATTTATTCAGTCTAAGTGTTTAGTTTTCTAAAATGCGTTACACGATAGCAGAGAAAGTAGAAATGGTTCTTATTTATGGTGAATGTCATAGAATTATGAGGGAAGCGGTACGTGTGTATAGTGAAAGATTTCCCGATCGTAATAATAGACCTTCACTTTCTGTCTTTACAAACATTATAAAAAAGTTCCAAGAAACTGGAACTGTGGATAACAAAACACGTAATCTTGCCAAACGAGCAACTGATGATGGAAACTCGATAAATATTGTAGCAGCTGTAATACAAGATCCACATGTTAGTACAAGACAACTGGAACGCGAAAGTGGCATCAGTCAACGAAGTATTTTACGAATATTACACATTAACAAATTTCATCCGTTCCACATATCACTTCATCAACAATTAACTGAAAATGATTATACAAAACGTTTACAATTTTGTGAATGGGGCTTACAAAAACTACAAGACGATGAAATGTTCTTGAGTAAATTGTTATTTACCGATGAGGCCACATTTACAAACCATGGAGCAATTAACCGTCACAACATGCACTACTGGTCGGTAGATAATCCACGATGGTTGAGAGAAGTCGACAAACAGAGACCTTGGTCTGTAAACGTCTGGTGCGGTCTTCTTCATAATAAAATAATTGGTCCATATTTTATTGATGGCACGCTAAATAGTAGTAAGTACCTGAGAATCTTAGAAGACGTTTTGCCAGAATTGTTAGAAGACACTTCACTGGACATACGACAATCCATGTGGTTCCAGCAAGACGGATGCCCTGCTCATTCAGCACGCAATGTTACAGAATTTCTAAATAGAAAATTTGGAGATTCTTGGGTAGGTCGATCAGGAAGTAACAAATGGCCGGCACGATCCCCAGACCTGACACCTCTCGATTTTTATTTGTGGGGAAAATTAAAGGCAGAAGTGTACCGCGAAAAACCAACTACCAAACTTGACATGCAAGAACGTATAAGAAGAGCTTGCTCTGTAATATAGATACAAATGAAATTTGCCAGGCAGTGTCATCAGTATTGCAACGATTTAGACTATGTATCCATGTTCAAGGTCGCCATTTTGAACACTTGTAATAGCAGTATCAAAGTATCCAAGTGTTCGAAGAGTGCTTTGACACAATTTATTTTCTATTGCAGTTGACTTTGGGTGACCTTGAATGACCTTAATAATAGGTCATTGTATTCGCCTTGAAACACTCTATCAGAATGTAAGTAATAAAATATACTGTTCCATTTAAAAAAACAAAGTTGACCTTCATATCTCCTTGACGCCTCCACCTACAAAAAAATTGGTAATACCAGATTATGAGCCCCCCGATACCAAATAAGTTTGGTCTAATGCATTTTCTCCTATCTTCAAAAACAAGCGAGTTATTCAGGTGACCTGTTTAAAATGCCTCACCCTGTATATACCTACTCCTACCAAGACCGGTCAAATGAATAGTCCTTTTTCTTTTTCACGAAAATTGTGTTTTAAAATTGATTCGTAAGATTCTTTCTCTTTTAAGTCACATATTTTTTCTCAAAACAGGAATTTTAACATTCGGTACAAAAATATTCAATAATTTCACTTTTAATGTTCATATTTAGTACTTTGACTTCATAAAACGCCCTCGAAAACGAATTTTGTTTCACGTCAATGCCTTAGTTAGGTCCAGAGAAAACAATTATTTACGAAAAAATGCTGGCTGGTAATTATGGAAACATCCTGTATATAAATTTAAATTCATTTTCAATTAAATAAATAATTTATAATCCGGTTTTATCGTACACCAGTCGTAAAATCGACAAGAATTGCTGAAACTTCTTTGGGCGCACAGAGCCAAAACACATTTCAAAATAAACATAGAAGATAGCATAAATAATAATAATTGATATATTCGACGGATAGAGGATGAAGAGCAGTTTAAAATGCAATATGTTTCAAGACGATAGCGTAATTAGTTCCGGAGATATAACGATTTTTGTATCAAGCCATTTCATTCAAGTTCATTGTTTACGTTGTGAGGTCATTGACCGTACGTGCTTGTAGTAAATATTTGAGAAATTACTCCTTCATTTAAATTACGATATCTCCAAAACGGAAAGTCGAATCTACATAATCCAAAAATAGTTTCAAAGAGGAAGCTTTGCCGCTTCTAACGGTGCTGAGTTATTGAGAAAACATTAGTAGTTTCAGAACTGCACACGTTTAAAGTTTAATTATTTTTAAAACGCGTTAATACGTATTTTTAATACGCTGTTCTAAGACAGTAGAAACTGGAGATTCTCCTTTTTCAGTCCCATATTTGTTATATATGTACTTCCTATTTACATCAGAAGCTAACCAGAATTTAATGTCAAGTTTTGTCCGGTTTTTTACAAAGAAATATGCTGATAACCTAACTATGACCAAACTACATATTTTTCTCAGGAAATAAACAATAAGAATAGAATTGAATATTGAGCAATTAATTGTACGTATACTATAAGGAAAAGTCGTGAAATTAAATGGCATTAAAATAGTATTCGATGTTCGAAATTCTAAACGATATTTTAAAAACGATCATTTGACTGGTCATAGCAGGTTTAGTGTTAAGGAATTTTCTGCACAATTTTGCAGATTACGAAATATTTTATATTTAATACCGTAATATGTACACTGAACATTTGTTTCGTATGTTATATTAGAAAGCATTAGGTATTTCACTACATGCAAAATCATTTTATCGAATTATTTTCTATTAATCAGTTTACATAAAGTTACAGATGTTTTAAAATAAAATTTCAGCAGTGCATGATAAACGCAAATTGGAAACACAAGGAAATTTTTTAAAAGTATTATACAGGGTGTTCGGCCACCCCTGGGGAAAATTTACATAAGCGATTTTAGAGGCCAAAATAAGACGAAAATCAAGAATACCATTTTGTTGATGGAGGCTTCATTAAGAAGTTATTAATGTTTAGAATTTCGCCCGTACTGAATTTTTTTCTCGAAAGTGCGTAGGATTTTTAGGGTATGTCTATTGACCAAAAATGATTATAATTGGCCCCCGCAACCGAAAATAATTTTTTCAAAATGATTTAAAATTTCTTTTTTTTGTCGAAAAATTTAGGCATTTAATTCGTTTTTGATTTTTGTAAGTTTGTTCGATGCCGTACAGAAAAGTTGTCTAATACTTTCTTGTAGATACCCATGAGCTCTACTTCAGAAAAAAGTTTCATTGAAATATATTCACTATTGTAGGAGTTATGGTCATTTGAAAATTGAACAAATTTGTATGGGGTTTTTCTCATTTTACGGGGCCAAGCAATAAGTTTTTCAATATTTTTAGAACTTCTACATATTCCTCACTAAAATACGCGTTGTTTGCCGTTTGAAACATTAAAATCCTCTAATCCGTTCAGAAGTTACGACGTTTTATAGATACGCAAGAAATTTTCGAGTAACATTTCTGGCCTGAAATTAGATTTTTGCTAAGGAATTTTTTTTCTCGAAAATCGGTACTAATTCAGAGGTATGTGTAATGACCAAAAATGATTGTAATCGACCCTTGCAACCGAACAAATTTTTTTTAGAACGATTTGAAAAAATTTTTATCGCCGAAAAATTTCAGCATCTACCCGAATTTTTTTCTCGAAAGGAAGTAGAATTTCGAAAGTATATGTAATCACCAAAAATGATTATAATTGACCATCGTAATTAAAAATAATTTTTTCAGAATGATTTGAAATTTTTTAATTTAATTTTTTAATAACTTTTTAACGAAGCCTCATTCAACAAATTGAAATTCTTGATTTTCGTCTTATTTTGGCCTCTAGAATATCCCATTAAAATTTTTCCTAGAAGTGGCCGAACACCCTGTATAGCTATTGTTTACTATCACAAAGTCATGAGATGAGATAATTGTCATTCACGAAATAAATCACAATTTTGAATACTTCATCACGAATAAATATCCGTTCTTCTAACAGAGACTGATAATATTGTCGCGTTATGGACAAGTTTTGATTTCAGTTAGGAATTAATTCGCGACAATCGATTCTAAACGTATTTTCGTAGCGTCGATAACGGACAGAATAGCGTGTTGCCGGTTCGTGGAAGTTTAGGAACGGGAACGCGCCCCGTTTCCTAGTTTTATCCGTCTCTCCATTCGCGCGTAATCGGCGCCACCGACAAAAGAGTATTCGGCAAATGCTAAATCATTCGCACCAGCTGAATTCAATTGGCTCTAATCAATCTTTCACGTGTAAATCACAACATCACGCATCGTGCGCATACATCACCCATTCTCATCCAGCAGACAAATAATCAATCCGCATTTCCGCTGATTCAATCATGCACGCTGTTCGCACAGTGCCCCCATCGAAGCCGGTGATACTGGACGGGACGACGGAAATCTCGGAGATAGAGAAGCTGTACAACGAGGGAAGTGACGTGAACCTGATTTGCGAGGTACAAGGTGGCAGGCCGCCCCCGACGCTGACGTGGTACCTCGGGAACAACGTGATAGACGAGTCCTATCAGTACAAGCCTGACTTGGGGCTAACGGTTAACCACTTGTTCTATCCGAAAGTTGGTCGGCAACACTTCAAGGCTCAGCTGATCTGCAGAGCCAGTAACACTAATTTGGTGATGCCGCAGACCAAGCTGATCAATCTCGACATGAATCGTAAGTACTCGAACGTTTCTCAAACTTATTTATCCTTACAACGTGTTTCGTTCGCCTACACCTCCAGACAAAATGGTAGCACATGCGTGCTATCTTTATTTTCTTGACATAGGATTATGTTGGCGCAGTGAGTAAAAACTAGCACACCAGGATTAAAAGAGATATTTAGTATATGTTAGTAATAATCAACATTAATAAGATCAAACTATTATCATTATAACATACGAGGTGCATACAACGACCAAGCTGAAATGATAAGGGCGCCGCCCAGCGGTGGGACTCAATAACACGCGTTTTTTTTTGTTTGAAGGATAGAAATGTTCAATTTACGAATTACGTCTGAGGCTCATTTCAAGAATCGTTGCTGTATATTCTGAACAGCTATGACTAGACTGCGGATGTTTATGCAAAAGCATATGTTTGTAGGTGAAACCTAAATAGAAGTTTGTTTCATCACTAGAAGTCCTTAAAAAATATATTCTTTATTTTGCATATAGCATATGAGGGGGCTGGGGGTTCAAATAACAAACCTCAATCTACCCCAACAATTATTAACAGTTTATTTTCGCGGGTGTCGGGGGTGTAGCCACACGTAGGTTAAATTGATACCATAACTGGCTTCGCAAACGCGCGACGTCTTAGTCAGACTGGGGTCTAAAATAGACTGGGGTCTTTCTTTGTAACGTCCCTTCAATATATACAATTCTTACCCTAATAGCAAAGGTAGAGAAAAAGAGACAGGACAGAAAGACGGAAAAACGAAACTGGAAAATATTCAGCGTAGGAAAAGTTTAGCGAAAGAGAGTCATAAAAGTCAAGAGGCCCGGATCGGGGTGGTCCGAGGCCCAGGCGAAACCTTGAAGGAAAACAGACGCCTCGCACGGCTCTGGTCGCCAAGTGTTTAACAGGACGACCAGGCTCGCACGAGACTCTGGGAAAATGGAAAAATAGAAAGCTTAAAACTATCCTTATATTCCATTCCCATTCATACTCTGGCAAGGGCGTAGTGGCTATACAATGGCCGCTACACATATGTTTTGCAAATTTTTTATCAGAACATATGTCATATATGTTTATTGCATTTCTTTTCGTAAAATTAATGCTTATAAGGACTTCCAAACATCTATTACAGTCTACTAATTTAATGTTTGATGATGATAACATAGCTATTTATACATCTCGTATTCACCTATAGTGAATCATTAATCGTAACAGTTCATAGATGCTACGAATTGTATTAAGTAGTAATTATCAAGTATTCTTGGCAGATAAACAATTAAAGTATGCAAATCCAAATATGGCCCAATCACATCTTGTAATGTTGAGCGTTCGATCTCAGCTTATAAATTGTCTTTAAGCGATAATCGTCATCAACTACCTCTTGACAATATTCAAAAAATACTCGTAACATATTGTAATTTAAATTATAATTGATTATTATTATATTTAAGTAATAAAACTATTTCAACATATTTTGCATATTCCTGTATATTTTGCCATATTATCGATACATATTTTACATATGTCACTTACATATTTTGACATATTTTATTGATATAAACATCCGCAGCCTAGCTATGACACTAGTGGCCACAGAAATTACACCACCTTAAAAGTGTCAATGTTTCTGCTATAACTCGCACATTGTTGGTGTCTGTCCGTGTTAAATATTAGATTTACACTAAAAAAAAATATAATTTATTAACAAATAAATTTAACTAAATTTTTAGTCGCGTACACTTTGGAAAAATGTAGATTTCCGGTTTTAAATATTCTTATTTATCGTGAATGATGAATCTTTCTATAAATAATAAAATTCTTGAAATGAGAGTTGTATTAAAAGCAAAGTATACTTGCTTATCAAAGTAGATAAGTAATCGAATAACACGATGGTGCTTCTTTACGAAAGCGTAAAATAAAAAATTTTTTTTTTATGAAAATTGAATAGTCCGTTGAAAACTGGACTCGTTTCTCTGATTTGTCGACAACGAACTGAATATCGTATATTACAGTTCCTTGTTGGCGCGAGATAATTAACGCGCAACCCATATATCCCGTCTGTGAAACATTTCAAATTTTTGAAATGTGTTTGCAACGTCGACCATGCAGAACCAAGTTTGTCTAATAATTTCTGAGTGCTCAGTTTTGGATTGAACTCCACCGTGGATTTACAAGCTTCATTATCAAACTTTACTGATACTGTACTTCGCGGAGCATCTGGAAAGTTCAAATTACCTTCGACGAAATTTCTAAACCACCGCTGACACCGACCATTAAAACATCACAATAAAAATAACAGATTTCTATTGTAGCTTTTGTAATAAACAATTTGCACTGAAATGAAAATGAAACAGAATACAGCGTTGTGGGTGTTCTTTCAAAAGTTGAAATTCTGAAATTGTTACTCAATTGTTGTGAGAAATAATTACTTGAATATCTGACACAACACTGAGAAAATGTTGTAGTATACAGTTCCACTAGAAAATAATAAAAACTAGTTCAGTGAATACTTGATTGCTCGTGGCTACCCCTAATAGTATCGGTTGTAGACTGTTCCCTCCTGTGACCATTTTTACATGTCACTGTTGCTTTAGAAAAATAAATTAAGGATATAAGAATCAGATTCTGACAAACGATGATAGATGTACTGATGCTATGTCACGATTACGAACACGAAGGACTCTTTAATTAATGAAAATATTACTTTTGGTGCAATGGTTCTGTCATGATTTCCTCAACGTACACAAAATAGAATTGTTCATGATAAAGATTAACTACAAACACTATAGTACATGGAAGATCTAAATTCAATCAAACGTTCGAGGTCGTTGACAGATTAACCCCGCCATACTGTATAGTGAATATTTATTCATATTTTTCCAATCGTCTTGAATATTAAATAGCAGCATACAAAACACTAAATTTTTATCAACAGAAAAGCATGTGTACTACTTTTTCTTACAAATCATTTGTTGGTATATGTATAGTTTAATTATTCTCAGTAAATGCAAACAATTTTATTATATTAGTTGACACGCTATAAAGTTTTTATGATGGTTCAAATATTATTGTAGAGTCTTACCAAACGTTTTTTGGCGCTATTCGACATTTTTAATAATTATAATTATTGAAGAATTACTTTACTAATTCCACTGTGCAAACCTCTAAGGTTTGGTCATCTATTTCAGAACCACTGTATGAATTATAAATGTATCATAACGAATACGTTCATTTTAAAAGATGCAAGTAACGCGCATTATCCTCGACATATTTTCCTGTCTTTTGAGACGTTTCCTCTTATATCTTCTCAATTTCTCCCCGTTCTTTCTTTTTCATCGCGTTTTAAAACGACGTCGTTTCCTTAATCTCATCGTTGCTTGTAGTTCTGTACATCCAGGGAACTTCAACGACCTACTTGCAGTAATTCGTGATAATTGTCCCATTCTTCCTAGTGCAATTTAAAATTGAAGATTTCTATGAGGATAGTCGAGGAGCACGGTGCTGGCGATTTAATCGTGCTGCAGTTAATGGTTTAAGAAAGGGAACTATGAGAGTCCTTGAAGTATTCATTTCATTATCTTGCTCAAATACGCGTCAGAAATTAATAGAAATACGACTAGAAAATACGGTTTAAATTCAACTTGTTACAAAATAATTACAGCCTTACACGTATACGAGTAAATACTGAGTAGAAATTAAATTAAATTTCATTCAATACATACGTCAATAATTTTTAAACACTGTTGCCCATGATACGAACGTATTTTAAAATGGTTTCTTTTAACATCGAATGAAAGAATTTTCGGTGTTAAAAAATTTGTCAATTTCGAGAAATCTTGGAATTTTCAAACTGTAATACATTTCTAAAAGATGCAAAGAAGAAATTTTCAAATTGTTTGCCATAGTAGTTATCCCTTTTCCATGCGTAATAGAATCAGGTTTGTTAGTACTTTGAAGGAAGATTCCGTAAAGGGGTCGTTATGCGGATAGAAGTTGAGAAACGCTGGTTTTAATCATACATTAACGTTGTATCGTTGACGTCGTGTTAAAACCACGGGAATACCGGATTCCATATTTGCATACTTCCGCGGCTGTAAGTGGTTAGAATCGTGACATCGGCGACGTCGACTGGAAAACATTAATGCGGCACAGAGCGTTACTTGTAATCTGCGGTTCGCGTCGGGAATTTCGCAATAAAATTATGCAGAAACCAGTTACTCCTGCGCCGGATTAACGTATAGGTCACGATCTAAGTAACGCTTATACGCACGACTCGTGACAGACAGTTTGGTTTCTACGGTTTCGGATGCAAGTGTGCCCGATGGCGGCAAATACCGATTAAGAAACGTAGCGCTGATACATTCGAGAATTTATGCCTCGATATTACCACACGCACGCTATCGCGATCTTATTCGTGGATAAGGCCTTCTGTGTTTTTTTATGTTACTGAATAATTTTTGTTTATATAACGCGACGAAGGACAGGCTTTATAGCATAGGGCGCTACAAGTATTCCTGATACGTGCTAAAAGGTTGTAACTCTTTCAGGGGGTGGTTTTATAAAATGCATTGGCTCCTGGATTTTGTTGGAACAAATAATCTGATTAGTTAATTTTAAAAAATATCTCTGAATTTAAATTTGTTACATTTTATATTCTATATAAAATTATTTTATAAAATGCATTTGCTCGAGGACACAATTTTGTTGGAATAAATAATACGTTGCGTTAATTTTAAAAAATGTCTTTGACTTTAAATTATTTTACAAAATGCATTTGCTCGAGGATTATGTTGGGATATGTAATACGTTTAGTTAATTTTAAAAAATATCTGAATATAAATTTGTTACGTTTGTTATGTTTTATATAAAGTTACATTTCGTTTCTTTTCGTATTTCTTTTCGAGGTGTTGCTGGAACCAGACTGGTAGATTATTTTACTATTTAGTCGCTTATAGATCATAATTAAAGTTCTAAACGAATGTCTAAATGTATAACGCGTT